TGTGTTTGAAAAAGAAGAAAAACGTATTGATGTGATGAAAAATATTATTTTATTGAAGAATGTATGGTTGAAAATGAGAATTGATTTACTGTAGAAAATGAAAATCTGTACCAAACAGACCCTTAGAGTTATAAGAATAATTGTTCTTACTCTTCTACAGACTTTTCACTTGACATTGTAGCGTTATTTTGATGTGAATCTCATAATTAAAAATCAGATGATCCACAATCTAGTTTCCTTGCTACTTCATCGACTATTCATTCTTTTCTTGCTCCTTTTGTTCGCATGGACTCTAATATAAACCTATGTTTTGAATAATATTTTCTGGAGAATGTGGTTAAAAAGTAGAAATTTATTTATTTATTTATGTACAAAATATTTTATCGTGTGAATGTGAATACGTGATTAAAGATGAGTATAAAAAATAAATCAAATCAAATCAAATCAAATCAAAAGCCACTGCATAGTCTTGGGAAAAAATGAAAAAGAGAAAAATAAGGGACCACCATCACACACTCCGAATACTATTCCAATCAGGATCTCACTCTACATTCCTCACTCTAGTCTGCGAGCAGGTGTTTCTCTTTGCCTCTGCGTGTGAAAAATTGCGTTACTGTAAAAGAAGCTCTTCGTGTTTGGTGCTATTTGATTCTCGAAATCCTGATTTAGGGTTTAATTACAGTTACGATTTTGTTGTCGTATTTTATAAGATCTCTTACCCTTTAGCTTATCTCTGCAGTTAAATGCATCACGCTCGTCTCTGACGGCCGGAGGTGAATTGTAGGGGTCGCCAGCGACGAGAATGAGTGCATCGAGGTTTATAAAGTGCGTCACTGTTGGAGACGGAGCTGTGGGTAAAACTTGCTTGCTCATTTCCTACACCAGCAATACGTTTCCCTCTGTAAGTTCCTCGTCATTTTCTTTCTTCTCTTCTCTTCTTATAATGAAATCATTATCATTTTTTAAGTTGACAATTAACAGAGGTAGGAAAAACTTCTGCTTTTATTTCCGGGTCTTAATTTTTAAACTTGCGAGTTGCGATACTCGACGATTACAACGTAGTTTGCTGTATTTTCACGATTTGTACAATAACGACAACCCTGAAGCATTGACTATCTAAACTGCGTTTCTGAGTGCTCGAGAAAGAATATCCGAAATCTTTGATCTTTTTTCTATAGATCCAGAGATGTAAAGTTTATAAATTTAGATTCAATAAAGATTCAAGACTTTAGAGAGGTCTTCTTTAATTTTGATAAGGTGGGAACGTTTTATTTGTTTCCTTCAACTTCTAATTTTGATTTGCTTGAACTTGTTCTGTATTCATTGCAAGATACAGCCTTTTCANTCTAATTTTGATTTGCTTGAACTTGTTCTGTATTCATTGCAAGATACAGCCTTTTCAAGTGGAATTGGAAAAATGATTGGTCTATAAAGGATTTTAATGATACATAACCAATCTGTGATGCTTCTGGACACGAATTTTAATTACTAAAATATTTGGCCTTAACTAATGAGTTTTTTGCTAATTTAGGTCCTGCCCAGTATTGGTACTGATAATTTCTTTGTTTGAATTGGAATATAAGTATTCTGATACTCAGTTAATGTGAAACTTTTATTACTCTTCCTGTGACTGTAGAGCTTTTAGGTAAAAATGCTATCTTGTTTTTGAGTTTCTTCTGTTTCGAGTATAAAGTTTATGTTCAGTTGAAGCAATTTTATTCTTCTTTTTAGTTAGTGATCCTCTTTCAAATCTTTTATCTTGTTTTTGAGATTCTTTTGTTTTGAGTACCAAGTTTATGTCCTTCAGGCGATGAATTTATTTTCTCATTTTGAGTTAATGATCGCCTTTGAATGCCTTAACTCTTTTGAGGAAGTTAGATGACCAAAGCCATTGAGTGGTCATTTGGTGACTAGTGTGTTGTGAGTTGTATTGGTTTGGTTTTTGGATTTTTCTAGACATTCAAAGAACTGCTTTATTGATTAAGTTTTATTTTCCAAGAATATTTTAAAACCTCTAGCTAAATCGAAAACAACTTTGCTGTTTTGGTTATTGATTTTATAGTTGTAGTTACACGTGCAGTTCAAATGAAGTATCCATTTAAATAGAACTGATGTGTAGATTACTAGACAATAAGAGTTTTGGGTTAGAAATGAAAGCTATGGTGCATACTGAAATTTATATGATTTAGGGACAATATTTCTTTATAACTGACTACATTAATGTGTTAGAGGCCATGGTGGCCGACAATCTGGCCAGAAGCCTCCATTTTTCCATCACATGGTCCTGTACACCTCAACCTGTCCTGCATACTTTTTCCAATGAACAGTGAATCTTCTATGAATCAGTACTTGGATAGCAAAATTAAAATGCATAAAATAATTCTTCAACACACATTTATATCAAAACAAATTCGTTTTTAGTTTTACATAAAAAATAATCATTTTGTTTTCTCTTATAACTAAAATGAAGACGCCTCGGGTTTTGTGTATTTCTTCCGGAAACTTGATTGGTGAGAAAATCTTGACTGTGTTTCATTTTAGTTGGTCTATTTTGCCTTTAAAGGAGTTTTCTTTAGATCTATGCACTATTTTAAATTAATTATTTACTTTTAGTTCAGTGTTTCATTTTTATTTTGCCTCTATTGTCAACTAAAAACTGTTCAAAAATATACTCGAATTTGTCTTGGTGTGTGAGTTTTATAGTTTGTATTTAATATAAAACATTTGGTTTTTTCTCTATTTCTGGTGAAGTTCTGAAGGCCTTCTTGTGTAATGTAGCAAAATTTGGTATACTATGTTTCTCACTTAAAGTGTGTATTTGATCTCTTCTGTTTTAAAATGAACAGGATTACTTGCCTACCGTTTTTGACTTGTTTCTCACTTAAAGTGTGTTTGTCGTAAAATGAACAGGACTATGTGCCTACCGTTTTTGACAATTTCAGTGCCAATGTCGTTGTGGATGGGAGCACCGTTAATCTAGGATTATGGGATACTGCTGGTACATTACTTGTTTCCTGCTGAAGTATTTTCTTATTGATCTTTAAACCTATTGTTGAATAGGTTTGACTCTTATTTCATTAAAAAGGTCAGGAGGATTACAATAGATTAAGACCATTGAGCTACCGTGGGGCTGATGTCTTTATACTTTCATTTTCCCTCATTAGCAGGGCTAGTTACGAAAACGTCTCTAAAAAGGTGAGCCTATGTTTTGCCAGTATCATGCATTCTTCCCTTATCTACTTGTTACATTTATTTGGTAATGAATAGAGGGAAAAAGTGAAAGAAAGAAGGCATAAATAATTTCATTATACTAAGAAAAGGCATAGAGGATAATCTTTTGGCATTGGGACCAGCAAGAAGAATGCTATTTTTCCTTACTCGCTTAATACTTTTTCTTGGCAAATGAAGTGCAGAGGAGTCTTTCCAACTTCCAACCTCCTTCTGAAAAATTACAAATTGTAAATAAATAAATAAATGACTGGGAAGGAATAAAAGGTCATGCTGCTGATTTTTATACTTCTCTTTTGACGCCAGTGGATTCCTGAATTGAGGCATTACGCTCCTGGAGTTCCAATCATTCTTGTCGGCACAAAGCTTGGTAAGATTTTCCCTCCATCAATTTATGTTGCAATGCATTGTTACTAATGTTGCAGTACTACTTATTTTTACTACCTCATACTAGCTGATGGGATGGTATTGCATGTTTGATTGCAAACAACTAGACTATATTTCTACTGCTGATAGTAATGAAATAGAATCTTATATGGAGATTTGCACCCTCGAGAGCATTTTCAAGGATGCGTTTGCATGATTATATTAAGCTGATACTAGTGCTACCATGTTAATTAGCGCCTGTTTGGAAGGGATTTTCCCAAGATTTGAAGCAATTTTATAACCGTTGGGCAGCTTAGAAGTGGGGCCCATTGTAGCTGTTGGCTTTGTTTGCCTTTCCACTAAATTATTACAATTTCCAAAGATGTCCTTTAAGAATAGTCAAATATGATGATTGGAAGAAATGTGTACAAAGTAATTAAAAGGGTACTATAGACTTTTACCCTTTTTTAGGTGATAGTTTCTATTGACGGCTTAAATGCACGGCAGCAATGGAAAGGCAGACAACGGTCATATTTGGGCTAAAAATCTTGGGTAAATCACTCCCAGACATGGTTTTAATAACATCAGGCCAACTAATGCCAGGTGAGTTCTTTACACCCAAAAGGTTCAAAGATGGGGGAAAATAATTGAGGAATTCTAGTTATTGTAACTAGTGGTCCATGACTACAACCATGTCTAGGACTACAGATTCTTTTCTTGCAAAATTGTGATGTGAGATGCAAAAAGTAGCACTTAAACTTGGCTGGGGAAGAAATTGGAATTTGGGATGCAATTTATATGACACAATCAACCAATCAATTTCCTGGACATGCTAGTGTTCGAAAAACTCGTTGTGCAACTTGACAACCATGTGATTAGAATTATCTTATTAGACAACATTCACTGACTTCGAAATAGATGATACTGTGAGTGAGCTGAATGTTCATACCTGTTGCTGTCTTTTGATAACCATAGGGTATTTTGATCAAAGTGAATGCCTACATCAAATGTAATCATCTCTGTTCACAACATCTTTGTGACATTTGAGAACCATATTTGTTTCCTTCTAGATCTTCGAGAGGATAAACAGTTCTTTGCAGATCACCCTGGAGCAGTGCCCATTACGACTGCTCAGGTATATTTTGCTACATTCATGTCGTTAAATTTCTATCCAAGTTTTACTGCGACGATTTTGTGCCTTGCCAATCATTTTGAGTGTGTGTTTGTATCCCCGAGAGAAAACTTACTTTCCCACTTTTTTAGGGAGAAGAGCTTAGGAAATTAATTGGAGCAGCTGCTTACGTTGAATGTAGTGCAAAGACACAACAGGTCTTTTTACTGTTTGTATTTTGTTACAATACTTATTGTCTCCATTGTAATGCTTCTTTCGATTTAGATTATTAATGATATCTTTTATATATTTTGTCCAAATATTGCCAGAATATTAAGGCTGTCTTTGATGCTGCCATTAAGGTTGTCCTGCAGCCACCAAAGCAAAAGAAGAAAAAGAATAGAAAGGGTCAAAAGGCCTGCAGTATATTATGACTGCTAAAAGAAATGCCAAGGAGCGGAAGATTATTTTCCGTATTAATCTGATTTCCTCTCATATCCCCCGTCGAGGATGCAACAACCTGTGAGTTTTACTCGACTGACTATACCAGGGGGGCTCATATTAAACCATCATGTTGTCAACTGCTGTTTGAGATGTACATGTACATATGAGTGTGATTTGTTTTAGTGATGTGAAAATGCTTCCTTATGAACCCTAGATTGTGTAATTTCTCAGCTTGTGTATATCTAAGTTGTCTCTTTATGGACTATCTGAATTTCATGTGTATCATGGTTACAAGGGAAAAAAAGGAGAGATTAGTTTAGAATACTCATGGACGCCTTAGCTACTACTTGATTTTGTTAAAAATTAGATTTTTAGTAGATTTTGATAAAAGTTGATGAAATGTGTAATTGGAAAGTTGATTTTTTATTTTTTTGTAATATGATGGTGAATATTGAGAAAAAAAAGAAAAATTATTGATGTGATAGAAAATATTATTTTATTGAAGAATGTGTGGTTAAAAATGAGTAGAAGAATAAGAATGAAAATATGGCTCAAATAGGGGCCAAACAATAATGGTTAAGCAACACAAAAAGTTAGCAAAATTAGAGCACAAAATATTAAACTGGGGCAGTGGGTTGAGGACGAGGTAGAATTCATGTTTTATTGGCTTATACCATTTCAAACCTATAGAATTCACAATATCGAGTTTGTTGAGTTTACAATGTCGTAAAGAAATGATTATTACAACTAGAATGTGGAAATATAAACTCTCAAAGTGTAAAATCTTTGAGCTCAGATTTTTGCCACACCGGATCATGCACCGTCGTCCACGAGAATGACAATGGATATACCGAGAATAAATCCACTGGAAGCCACCAAGAATTTCGTTGAAGATATGAACTTCTTCTACTTGGTTACCTCTCTATTCTTACTTTCTTTAGTTATGCCAAATTCAAAATGATAAGGTGAAAATAGTCTTGTAATTATAGAGTCAAATATTCATTTGGATTCAAATTCAAAATATTGTACTATGAAAGAAATATGACTATAATGTGTAATTGACCACAAGATTAAATCAAATCCTTGATTTTAATTTATGGTTCATATTACACATCAACTAGCATCCACCTCACAAAGTTAAACTTGAGTTTCAAGCATCAATATAGGAAATTAATCCCCATTGACGCGGAATGGCTCACAATATTGGCAGGTCCAAGGGTCAATTCGATCCTGGGCTTTCTTCAACCCAGCATTGTGCCTGGATGAAGGCTTTAAAATGGATTGGGAACATAACCCGAATTTTCTAGTGCTAAACAATAATGGAAAAATTACCTTAAAACCTGCATTTAAATATTACATTTCAAAAATCAAGGGATTTAAGTTTTATTTTTACAAATCAAGTGGTAAATAGAATTATTAATTGTAATTAATAAAAATTTAGTCAATCATTCATCCCCAAACCCGATTCACTCTCTTCCTTCTCTCTCTCTACCACCCACCCAACCCACAGTCTCTACCATAACTTTCTGGCACTGCTGCTCGTGGCGGAGCAATCCCAAACTCGATTCATTCTCTTCCTTCTCTATATCCTCTCTCTCTCTCTCTACCACCCACTCCTCCCCCAGTGTATACCATCACTTTCGACATCGCTACGTGTGGCGGCTCTGCCCTCCCACCCCCCCTGACGCTAGCAGCGCTACAACAAGGTGCCATACTACTGTGAGCAGTGGCGCTTTACTTCAAAACCGTCGATCGGTGTTTTCAACTGGAGCATTGATTATTCCAGATCAATTGAAGACGAGGATGAGGAGGAGGCTGCTAGATCTGCTGCTATTAACCAGGAAATAAAGTGTGCTTTTGAAGGTTATTGGTGAACTGTGGCTGAGGATGCTAGCGAAAAGGCTACTGCTTGTGCTGCAAGAAGCCATCGGCGAAGAAGCCATCTTCAGAGATTGGAATCTAAAATTGTCAAGGGAAAAACTGTGATGAAATTGAAGGAGATGAAATGATAATTGCTACCATATGACGGTGTAACAACTCTTTTCTTTCTTTTGTTAAAGAAACATTAGATTTTTGCAATGCTTTAAATTTCTTATTCTGATGGCTCAACAACTTGCTTTCACAGGACCCAACTTATTGTAGTAATAATATCTATGCCCATTGTTTTCAAAAGCTATCTCAGAGTTATGCCTTAAGGTAAGAATGTAAAGAGAAAAAGGTTGCAATAAAAATGGAATTATAGTAAAAGATTAGAGAGAAAATGTTCTCGTGCTGGATCGGTGGAGCTCTTATCCTTGGGATTCTCTGTCGACGGAGTTTATTTAATTTTTGAAATTAAACAAACTCATCCACTTCCCAAAAACAGTATCAAGGTCGAGATGGTGATGGTTGTGTAAGGATGACTGGATTGATGTGGTCGTGGTGGTGGCGGCGGCGTAGTCGGCGCCGCTGCAGAGTAAGAAGGCTGCAACCGAAATTGTTGGTGTCGGCAAACCTTTTTGGATCTATGACCAGATCGCGATTTGTAGTTCGTTGTGACCATTTGTGACCGATTGTGATTAGTTAATTGTGACTCGTTGTGACTAATTATGATCGATTGTGACTTGACATTCTGGAAATTTTTTAGAAGTTGGGAATGGATAGATGGGGTGGGTAGGTTGATCAGAGTATGCGTTGGAGTGGTTATTGGAGCAGTTGCCAGAGGCATCATGAATAGCCATCGGAGAGAGCGTCGGGGTGATTGTCGGAATAGTCGCCGGAGCGGCCGACGGAACTGTCACCGGAGTGGACGTAGGAGAGATCGCCATAATTGTCGCCGGAGAAATCGCAGAAACTGTCGCCGGAGTGGCCGATGGAGTAGATGGCCGCCTCTGATAGAGAGAAGAGATAGGAAGATGATAGAGAGCAGAGAGAGAGGAAAAATGATTTGGATTTGAAATTTAATAAATTGGGGTAATTATATTATATTATATTTAAAAATATTTAATTAATTGATTTAACACCTGATTTTTGAAAAGATTTTTGAAATTTGTTATTTTTGAAATGTAATTCTTATATATAGGATTTATGTATCGAGCAGTTGTCCAATTAAATTAATCTCTGGACACCATTGACCGTCTAATAATTAATTGTATTTTTACGAATTCATATGTATGCTAAAAAAAATTTATTTTCTACAGAATTTTCATATAATAACAGGCAAAGAAAGATTCAAAGTATAGTTTAAAAGATAGAAAGTTACAACTATTTTTCAACCTCAAAATTCTCACTTTGAAAATTTCTTCATTCAAAATCTTGACCGATAGTTCTAGTCTCAAAACCTGAACGTTTATGCATCTCTCTTTTATGCCCACTACATGATCTCTCTCATGGTCTTCAATCAAAAACAGATCAAATCGAAACACGGATTACATCACCTATTATTCACTGATTTCTTCTCCAAATTTGATCTCATCAAAATCATACACACATTACACATACATGCACACTCACATATACACAGAGAGAAAGAACTATCAAGATGGATGCACCTGATGAGGGCTATGCAGGAACACGTAACGGCGAGGAGATCCAACCAAATGCAAGTCCCTATGACGACAATTCCTACATGGGCTACGACCCTTCTCAGCGCTATGATTTTAAGGAAACTGGCCATGATGGAGCTCCACCACCTCCACCTCCGCCGCAACCAGCCCCTATGGCTATGCATGAATTTTCTGGGGATCCCATTAAAAGCACTAACAATAACATGCAGTCATCGGAAGGATATGGCTTCGGTGGTTCCCTGAATCTCGAGTACTCTCCCTCGCCTTTTGATGCGAATGGCATTGGTGAGAATGGGAATGGGAAGCCGTATGATACTGTAGCTGAAATTAAAGGACTTCTCACAGATCCCTCTCCTGATGGGCCGTTGCTTCCTGACCCCAGTGAGATGCGAGAGGAAGGAGATGCCTTTCGTCAGTGGCGTCGGTGAGCATTTAGATATTCGTTATGTGTAATCAACAATGTGTATTTGCTTTTTCTTGGATGAATTTGAACGGAAATTGATTCGGTTTGGATCACAAAATGGACTGATTATCACTAAACGGTGTTTGATGTGTCTGATTTTATAATGACATTTTAATTTTTATCTTGGCACTTCTTTCATTTTTGTTGGTGTAGTCAAAATGCCATTTATCTTGAGGAGAAAGAGAAGAAAGAGAGAGAGATGAGGGATCAGATAATAGCTGAAGCTGAGGAGTACAAGCAGAAGTTCTATGAAAAAAGAAAAGAGAATTGTGAGACTAACAAGGCTCAGAATAGGGAAAGAGAGAGAGTAAAATCGAACATCCAACTTCATTTCCTCTATTTAGAGTTTAAACTGACTTTTATTAACTGGATATTTGTTTTGTGAAGCTTTACCTTAAAAACCAAGATAAGTTCCACAAGGAAGCTGACCAACAATATTGGAAAGCAATAGCGGAGATCATTCCTCGTGAAGTTCCCCATTTTGAGAAGAGAAGAGGGAAAAAAGACGAGGGGAAGAAACCTTCTGTTTTGTTCATTCAGGGGCCAAAGCCCGGGAAACCCACTGATCTCACGAGAATGCGTCAAATGCTTCTGAAGTTGAAGCAGACACCACCACCTCATATGTTACCACCCCCACCTGAACCGCAGAAAGATGGCAAAGATGCGAAGGACGGGAAGGAACTGAAGGATGCCAAGAATGAGAAACTTGGAACGCCAAAAGGAATAAACGAAGGAAAGGGTGGGAAGGATGGAACAGATGCTACTCTTAAAGATTCTTCGGCTGCCACTGGAGACAAGCCCGTTTCACCTTCTAAAGATGCAACAAAAAGTGGTCTCCTAAAACGCCAATACTAGATGCATCTTCTGCTACTGGAGACAATAAAGAAGCCAAGATGGAGGCTGTCTCGACCGCTTGATGGGTACCTGATCTTCATCCATTTCATTCATTTATCAGTTATCTTACCACAAGACAAAGGAATAAAAGAAGCTCTCTTTGATGCCTATCCTCTGCTGTACTGAGCTCTGTTCTAACTTGCTTTTTACATTACACTTATTTTCGGTTCTTTTATCATTTACATTTTACACAGTATGTAAATTAAGAATTTACCACGAAAAAAGTCAATGGGTTTCATGTCCCAGGGTCAGGCCACGTTTGAAAACTTTGGTCCTAGACAATGCTATCCAACCTTAAAGTTTCCACTCAGCCAGACAACCTTTATATTCGTGAAAGAAATGATATCACAACACTAAACCCTAAAGCCTTTCAAAAAAGCAATTGGTTTTGTCAATCACACCTTCCTTTTCATAATCATTTCCTATCTTGAATTTGGCATATACACAATAGACAGCCATTTACATTTTATAGAAAGAAAACCAACCTTTTTTACATTCAACTAACAACTAATAGATTCCAAATACACACATCAGTCCTCAGCAAATTATTCTACTTAGTTAATAGACAAAAGGAAAATAACTTAAATTTTGCAAACAAACCACAAATTAAAACATAATATAGTAGTTAAGAATATCACATAACCACACAGGCAGTAGGATTTTCATCGCTAAAAGCAGTGGTGTAACGAACTTCAGTCGAGCTTGCACGTGCAAGATGCGAGATTTGAGCGTCCTCGGTATAACGCACGTACCCAGCCGGGGCCTTCTTATCGTAGACGCCGGGTGCATAAGGATGTTCGACTACATCATACGGGACATAGGGCCAAAGCTCAGCCTTCTTCCCGGTCCGATGAATCACTCGAGCTACCACTTTTTCAGGCTCGACATAACCAACCACTGTAAGCTTGTTTTGCTTAGGTTCAATCTCCACTGAGCTAACCCCTTTCATACCTTCAACTGCCCTTCGCACCTTCCTCTCACATCCTTCACAATCTATTTTCACTTTTATCTCCACTGTCTGCAGCCCATCATAAATATTTAAAAAACAAGAAAATTAATTTCTTTCGAGCTGCAGTGACAAACAAACAAATACAGCTTAAAAGTTACTTATTTGGCCAAGATTGCTGAAGCAAGCTAGAAAAAAGCAACTTTTAAGCTGAGCCGGGTCGCGTCTTGTGTATGTACACACATTATAGAAAGAGAGAGAACAGACCTGCAATTGTTTGCGTTTCTTGAGCTTGGAACCTCCAGAGGAGCGATCAAACACGTTGGAGAGATGATCCAAAACACCCATTTCTTCTTTTTTTCCTCACTAATAATTGATTTATCTACTGCTGTAGAGGTTGCAAAGAATGGTGTGGCTCGGATGGATGGATTCTTCAGTGCATTTGCAGTAGGATTAAGAGTGGGAAGAGGAGTATCCTTTTTCCTTTTTCTTCACTCTAATCACAACTGAAAATGATGGATGAATACACGTGGCTTTCAATTATGGGAAGTTTCGCTTTGATATTTTGTTCTGATAGATTGAAATTAAATAACATTATTTTTATTTTATAATTAATATTATTCACAGTGAATGATTAATATAGTGACAACGATTGTCACTCGCTATGCGTAACATGACTCTTATTTTATCTAGCACACAATTTAGGTTATATTATATGATAAATTCAATTAAATATAAAATTATGCAATTTATTTAATTGTATCATTCATTTAATGACACTTAGTGTCATTTAAATTAATATTGCAATACTTATAATGTTAAATAGTATTATTCATCCGATTAATACTATCTAATATTAATGGTGTTGAACATTAATCTAAGTGTCGCATGTTATATATCCTATTAAATGAGTCATAATTTTTTGTATTTAATTGAACATATAATTTGATGATACATATATCATCATCGAGATTGATTTTTAACACATGCTGAATATCATTATTCGTCTGATCTTAGAGGTGTCAACGAGTCGAGTTGCGAGCCAGAACTTTTAGCTCGGGCTCAACTCCAGTAAAAATGGTTCGAGCTTTTTTTTTGCTCGAGTCTAGCAAATGCTCTGTCAAAAAATTTAAGTTCGACCCGAGCTTTCGACTCAGACCTTAGTAAGTCGAGCCGACGAGCCATATTGACATCCTTATCTGATCTTAGTTGAATATCTCGTAAGTTGACACGCCATGATGGGATGGGATCCATTCTCTTTAGTATTTATGTTAAATTACAATTTGGGTCCTCAACCTTTACATTTTGTAGCACTTTTATCCCTATTAAATTTTTTTTTATCAAATGTATATCCCAACTATATAGCTTTATAAAACAAATGATATATCCTATTTAAAACACGTCATAAATTGTTTAAAAAAATAAAAATTGTTAGAAAATCTAAGAAATTTATAGAGTAAATATTCCAAGAAGTTGTGTTATAAGTATGTTACATGAAGATTACTTTTTTTTTTTTGCAGAATTATTAAATACATCTCCACCATTTATTTTAATGAGATGAAAATATAAATAAAGGTAACGCATGATTACACCATTCTAAAGTGCAATCCTTTATAAAGTGGTTTTAGTTTTCATTCACTTCCTATGTGGGACAAACTTTAGTTTTTAGTTTTCCCACCAACATAAACTCCTTTCACATAACATACTGTTTTTCCACTAACATAAACTCTTTTCACATGGCATACTTTGAGCTTCAATTTCTCATTCACTCGAGCATCATTTTTGACAAGTATATGATTTCGATGTACTCACGGAGGAGAACACAAATCAATTTTCCTCTTCCAAAATAGCCAAACGGGTCCCGCTCAAAATTCGTGCCAAAGTCAGTCACAACTCATTTTTTTCCAACTGTTATAATTCTAGCATATTGCCACACCATGAAATTGCAAAATTATGAAGGGAAAATTGGGGATTATGTCGAAAACTTTAAATAAATAAATGTAACGACTATGAAATGCGAGATTCGTATTCCATGCTTTGCCAATAATGGGAAAATGTGATATTCATGGCTAGCAAAGATTTATGTAAAAAACTCGTGAAATAATCAGAACCATGAATTAAATATTATAACGATTATGGAGCAGATTTTTCGTTCACATCTTGACCTTTCCTAACTTGTCCGAGTAATAAGTATTTTTTAACAAATCATGCAGTCTTTATATATTTGATTACAAGTGAAAGAAATATTGTAAAGAGTTAGAGAGAGAGAAAGGGATAGTGATGGAGACTGAAAGCCATTCTCACTCTACTGGTGTACAAGGCCCTCTTTCTTTCAAATCTAAACCCAAGAAACCTGCAGGTGGTTGGAGAGCCATAAAGTACATTCTTGGTAAATCCAATGCTATACAACTCAACTCAAGCATCAACCCAGAGAAGACAAAAACTACGAATTCATATTATGACTCGAACTAAATTGTTTGTGTTTTTTGTTTTTTTGTTTTCAGGAAATGAATCGTTTGAGAAACTGGCGTCGATGAGCCTGGTGGCAAACATCACAATGTATCTGCGCACGAAATACAACTTGAATGGCATACTTCTTGTTAATGTGGTTACGATATGGTCTGGTAGTTCTAATCTCTCGTCAATAGCCGGTGCCATAATCTCCGATGCGTGTCTCGGAAGATTTCTCACTCTCCTCATTGGCACCATTTGCTCGCTTTTGGTAACATCATTTAACATATTTGAGAGTTATTTATAATCAATTTACAGTATAAATAAATAGAAATGAGTGATCAATACATCAGCAGTACTCGTGGATCCCATGAAATATGTAGATAAAAAATAATTTTGGCTGATCATAAACACATTAAATTTCTTTATCTTTTAGATGAATTAGATTTCCTTTCTTTCATATTTATGCTGATCATATACCACCAATGGATCTATAAATCCATGTATCTCGATTTACATAGCATATACAGTGTATGTTTTGTATGTAATATTGTAACTGGAGTTAACAATAGAATGAACAAGAGTTTAGCTCTTTTTTTTTAATCCATAGTAGTGTTCAGTGCTATCCAATCTTCCAAGCCTGCTTTCTATTTTTTGTTTTCCCCTTCTTCCAGGAAACAATAGAATTTCATCAATATTAAAGACACATCGATCAGGCTGAAGCCACTCTTCTGTAGAGTTCATTAATATCCGAGCTCTTAGAAAGTAAGATAGAAGGGTGGTCATGGATCACTCTGTAGGCCGTCCATAGTCCATTAACACCTCGTAGTACCACTTAGACAAAACCTGCCAATGATGTATGATATATGGGTGATGTAAAGTTTTTACAGTAATAATATAGGAGTTTCCATTGCAATTTCAGGGCCTGGTTGGTATGACCTTAACAGCAAGTATATCTCAACTAAGGCCTCCAGAATGCAATGATCAATCTCCATGCACACAGCCCCACAAATTGCAGCTTGGTTTCCTATTTATCGCTCTCGGAATGATAGCACTTGGAGCAGGTTGCATTAGGCCATGCAACATTGCCTTTGGGGCTGATCAATTTGATACAAAAACTGAGAAAGGAAGAGCCCAGCTTGAAAGCTTCTTCAATTGGTGGTATTTGTTATTCACAGTAGCCCTTGTGATAGCCCTAACCGGGGTCGTCTACATTCAGACGAATATCAGCTGGATGATAGGTTTTGCTATCCCAACAGCCTGTCTTGCCATTTCAATCACAGTTTTCTTGATTGGTCAACATACTTACATATACAAGAAGACTCAGGGAAGTGTTTTTATAGACATGGCAAAGGTAGTTGCAGCTTCTTTTAGGAAACGAAAGATAAAACTCGGATCAGGTGATAATCAGTACTCTTTCTATGACCCTGTGCAAGAACAGGAAGCAGAAATAACTAACCCAATAAAACTGAAGAGGTTTAACTGCCTTGACAAGGCTGCTGTGATAACTGATCCAGGGGAATTGGATGCACAAGGTATGCCTACAAATAGTTGGAAATTGTGCAGTGTACAACAAGTACAACAATTGAAGTGTTTGGTTGGGATTATACCAGTATGGTTTTCGGGCATTGCTTGTTTCCTAGTCATGGACCAGCAAAGCACATTTGGAGTCCTGCAAGCAATTCAGATGAACAGATCAGTTGGGAATCATTTCAAAATTCCACCTGCTTGGTTGTCCATAACATCGATGATTGCACTCTCTATCTGGATATACATTTATGAAGGAATATACATCCCCAGTGCTAAGAAAATATTGAAAAGGCGTTCAAGGTTAATGCTGCAGCACAGGATTGGAATCGGGATTGTTATGTCAATCCTCTGCATGTTGGTAGCTGGAGTTGTTGAAAAGAGGCGCCGAGAACTAGCTATAAAGCAAGGTTCTTTCACCTCCCCAGTTCATGTTCTACTCCTCATGCCTCAGTTTGTCCTATCTGGCCTTACAGAAGCTTTTTCTGCTGTTGCTATAATGGAATTTGTTACAGTACAAATGCCAGAAAGCATGAGAAGTGTTGCGGGTTCAATCTTTTTTATCAGCCTGTCAATTGCAAGCTACCTAAGTGCCCTCATTGTCAATGTAATACACTCTGTAACTGGACGAAACAGAAAATCACCATGGCTTGGTGGACATGATCTTAACGATAACAGGCTCGATTACTACTATTACATTATTGCTACTCTAGGAGCTATCAACTTGATATATTTCACTTTCTTTGCAAGCAGTTATGTGCCTTGTGGCAAAGCCATAAAAGTTGCAGAAGAATCACAGTTGCAGGATTCAGTCAATCAATTGGAGGCCAGAGATTTTCCACCGAATGAGATTATGCAGGACGAGGAAAGAGGATTAGACACAAGGACTACTTAGATAGAGAAACTGTTTTGCTTTGCTGAGAGATTATTTCTTTAATGTTGGCTTTGAATAATCCGTATAAGGGATGAATCTTCAGTACTCTGTAAATATCACTCATGATGTGGTGGATTGCTTGGTTTGCTTCAGAAGAATGCAATTCAATATGACAAATTCTTGCTTTAAATAATAACTATGAAAATACATACTGCAAGTAGAGATGATTTTGGACAAGCTGCTGGGATGTCTCTTCCCCAGTATATGTAACTAATTTTTGTTCGTGAATGATGAGAAACGTTTGAAGTTGGTTGCCCCTCATTGAATTTGACTAAGGAGGAAAGATTGATAATCCAATGTTAATTGATGAAAAGACGTGATACTAAACAAATGGATCAAGATAGGACTAAGCTAAATAAGACAGAGTCAAGGGTCAAAGATTAAACAGTTAAAATATGATCGAACTATAGGTAAAAAATAAACGCACCCAGATTGCCCAAAAGACATTGTGGTTTGCAACAAGGTGATGAGCAGTGAGATCAAATGTATGAAAGGTGACAAGAATAAGAGATTAGTACTGTTAAATTCGAAATGCATATTCATACTGCGACATTTTGGAATGCATAAATTGTTGATAATGCAAACACTAGAAGAATAACTGCAATGTGTTCCTATTTACTCAACAAGGATGTGGGGAATATGATGATATACAGATGGACAAAATATAAGGGAAAAAAAGAAAATGGAACTTGAAGCTTGCCTGAGGAGCTCTAGATGGCAGGGACTGATATTAGTATTCTAGAGGGTTAATGTGAAAGAATTTTTGACAGTGATTGCATTTTGGCCATGGCTTTGAGACATGGGGAATTTCTTTCGAAAGTCCCTATTTCAGTTTCTCAAATGGCGGGTAAGGTAAATTTCATGTGCGGTCACTTAACTTTCAGCTATATCTCATATAGATCGCTTAACTTTAATGTCTCGGTTAGATTAGTGAACTTGATCTTGTTGTTTCTTCAACAATTTTCTGATCCAGTTAGTTTAATTAGGTCACTAACTTCAATTTCGATATCAAATTCCAACACATTTTTCAAAGGGAACAATACATAACTAAGATGTTTCATTTTATCAATTTCAAATTTAAGAATTTTAGTTTAAAATTTAAAATTTCAGATATTTTCAAATTTTATTTTTAAATTAATTAATTAAACATATATTTTATTAATTAAATATATTAAGGTCATAGTTCCATATAATTTGGTTACAAATTCTATATAATTGATCACATATTATTAATTTGTCACAAATCACAAATTTTACAAACACAAATTATTTTACGGCCACGATTCATAAATTTTGTAGGTCACAATTTGTTAATTGGTCACAAATAAAAAATTGAAATGTCACAAATTATTTTACGGTCACAATTCAAAAAATTTATATATCACAATTTGTTCATCGGTCACAAATCAGAGATTTTATAAGTCACAAATTATTTTACGGTCACAAATCGAAAATTTTATAGGTCACAATTCAAAAATTTTATAAGTCACAATTTATTCATCGATCACAAATAAAAAACTTTATACGTCACAACTTATTCATAGGTTACAAATCACAAATATTATAAGTCACAACTTAGTAGACGTCACAAATTGTCAAATTATCGGTCACAAATTAACAATTTTTAGGTCACACATTTTTGGTCACCATTTATATTTTTCATTGGTCACATATTTCTTGGTTATAATTTATATTTTTCATTGGTCACATATTTTTCATTGTTCCCAACCACAACACTGTACAAGGCATTGCATCCACAGCACACATCACCATTACCGTACCCACAACACCACGATCGCCGCCAGAGATCTACAGCTCCGACCTCAAATCAACAGCACAATCGACCAATTAGCCTTAGCGCTCTATCCACAAAGTTCCCTAACTGACTCAAAACTATGATCAACAACATCAATTCCCACAGCCAATTGAAACATCCAACATCTTGATCGGCCGATCGAATCATCCAACATTAGTGTTTAAACACCAAATTGGGATGTTTAGATTGCCACCTGAACACCAACAAAACCCCCGCCCAAACATCAACAAACCCACCACCACCAACAAGATTCGACATCGCCGCCTAAACACCAAATTGCAAGCACACCAATTGTCACCCAAACACCAACAAAATTGCCACCCAAATACCGAATCTAAATAGAGAGAGAAAGAGAGAAGGGAGAGGGAATATAGAAAGAGGTGACATCATCGCTCATTTTGCAAAGTCGACGGCATCTCCATTCCTGCAGTGGCAGCGTCAACCACTGTTGCAGCAGCGTAGACGACATCGAGCGAGCGTGGTGGCATCGTGAAAGAAGTGGCGTCCATCATCACCGGTGGTGTGGCGCCGGGGGTGCGACAACGGGAAGATGATGGTAGAGAAGAGAGATAGATGAGGAGGAAAAAATCGGGTTTGTTTCATTTGGTGGGGCCAGATAGAGGTATGGGATGGTATATAAATTAATTTAATTTTATAATATTATTATTAATAGATAGAATTATAAATATATGTGATTTTTGAAAACAAAACTTGTATATCTTAATTGTGAATTAAGATCTTTGAAAATATGATTTTGTGTATTTTCCTTTTTTCAAATTGATGAAAAAGGCCTAATTGACAGCAATGGCACAAGGGATCTTCCATGCTAGTGACATGTCAACTTACCATTATTGCATGTCATAAAAGTGTAAAATAAAAAATACACACACTTTAACCTTTTACTATAGAGACAATTTCATAACTCACATTTCACATATAATATATACTGTGCACACTTTATCACAAAAAATGCCACAATCATGCCTACAATATTTACATAAAACAGCCATAACTACAAAAGAAGGATGAAATTATTGTTATAAAATGAAAATAGGCAATCCTACCCATTTTGTTGTTGAGGTAAACCATGCACAATGTTTACATTCAGCTACCTAGACTGTTCATCTCCACTATCACCAGTTTCCATCCACAATTATGTAATATATTTAATTAAAGGTGAAATTATGAAATTCATTTAATTGTACCATTTATTTAATGACGCTTAATGTCATCTAAATTGATGTTGTAATATTAGTATTCATCCAATTAATACTATACATCACTAATTATGTTGAACATGAGTCTAGGTGTTCATATATCCTATTAAATGAGTCATATTTTTTGGTATTTAATTGAACCTATAATTTGATGACATAAATTAAGATAAAGGTCTTATGTCAATCGTGTAAATGTGAGAATGCAGAAATAAACCCGTTCTTTTTCAAAAAGAAGGAAGGCCAAACATATTAGAAACTTAAATTAAAAAGGCTTATTTCTAAAAGGGAAAAATGGCAAGTGATGTGTTAGTTAATTACAAGAAAGGTCTATTTTTTAACGAAAAATGCTATTCATCCCCAGTGAGGATGCATCCCAAGTCCATGTGGATGTAAATAATTGGTTAAATGATAGGTGAAATTTCACCTATCATTTAATGCCACATTAACGTCATATAGACTGAGGATGCATCTCCAGTGGGGATGAATAACATTTCTCTTTTTTAACAAATCAAAGAAGTTAATTACGGAGTTTCACATGCCGCGCCTAACTCTGTTTCCTTAACAGCATTTTGAATTTCAAAAAATGTTACCGTTACGCACGAGAACAGAATCCCTCTAAGCCAATATATAACCCAACCGATAAGTAAACCTAAAATCTGTTTTTCTTCAAATCTTGATCCCTTTTTTCATACAGACAGAGTAACAAAGAGAAGTGAAAAAAAGAATGGAGGATAAACCCAAGTCTGCAATGGAGGCATTTGAGAAACTGGAGAAAGTGGGAGAGGGAACGTATGGTAAAGTGTACAGAGCCAGGGAAAAGGCCACTGGCAAGATTGTAGCCCTCAAGAAAACCCGTCTCCACGAAGACGAAGAAGGTGTACCCCCTACCACTCTTCGCGAGGTTTCCTTGTTGCGTATGCTCTCAAGAGACCCCCATGTCGTCAGGTTTGATAATTTACTCAATAATAGATTTTTTTAATGGGTTTTCTTGAAGTTTCTTTTAACTCAGTTTATTTAAAAAATTTATGTTTCCGAAATTCTTTAAATTGTTGATTTTCTGGGTGTTCTACAAACTTCTTAGACTGGATGATGATGAAGTTTATCTGGGTTCGTTTTCTTTTTCATTTTTATTGAGTTCTTCAATCTTGATGCCCATTAATTTTCTTGTGATTTTGTTAGGGCTTACTTCATTTTCCATATGAGTTTTGATTTGGATATGAGTTTCCAGTAATAAACTATTTTAGGGGAGATACCAATCAATCTGCTAAAGGTCAGACGTAAATATCTGTACCAATTTTATGTAGCAATCGACTAGTTAACTGTTGTTATAGGACATCAAAAACATGTTATTGGCCTTTTCTTAAATTAATCTCTAACCAGATTTTGTAATTTCGATAGTGCAGAATCTAATTAATCCAAAGATAGCCACAGGTTTCTTATAATTTTGCCTAGTTCATGATTTTCTCTGTAAACTACAATTAACAGATTGATGGATGTGCAACAAGGCCAGAACAAAGAAGGCAAGACAGTTCTTTACTTGGTGTTTGAGTACATGGACACTGACCTCAAGAAATACATTCGCAGCTTCCGTCAAACTGGGGAAAACATCCCGACTAAAATTGTCAAGGTATAGCATAATTTATAGCAATTCTTGATGCAAATTTATCCATTCTGTATCTTAGATTTTTTTTTTTTTCTTTTTCACAATGCAGAGCTTGATGTATCAGCTGTGCAAGGGTGTTGCTTTCTGCCATGGCCACGGTGTGTTACACAGGTAAAATTCCTTGGTTTTTCTTACTCTTCTATATATCCTCCATTTCATAGCCGTAAATCATGATTCAGGGATCTTAAGCCTCACAATCTTTTGATGGATCGTAAGACGATGATGCTTAAAATTGCAGACCTTGGACTGGCCAGAGCTTTTACCTTACCAATCAAGAAGTATACTCATGAGGTAATGCATAGATTTTTTATTTTTTTTTGGGGATATAATACGCAATTAAGTTCTTGCCATTTATCAAGAAGTTTTTTTTCCAGATACTGACTCTCTGGTACAGAGCTCCTGAGGTCCTTTTGGGAGCTACACATTATTCCACTGCAGTGGACATGTGGTCTGTTGCCTGTATATTTGGTGAGTTTCTTGATATCTTTGCTTCATTAATTGCGGATTTATTCAACGATGCTAAGTTTGGACTGTAATCGCAGCCGAACTAGTCACAAAGCAAGCTCTCTTCCCTGGAGACTCCGAACTTCAACAGCTGCTGCACATATTCAGGTTTGGCCAAATTATGACTCGGATTTCCAACCATGACAGTTCAATTTGTGCTTTTTCCTAAAGTTCATTTTGAAGCAGATTGTTGGGAACGCCTAATGAAGAAGTTTGGCCTGGAGTGAGCAAGTTAGTGAACTGGCATGAATACCCGCAATGGAGTCCTAAGCCACTTTCATCAGCAGTCCCTGCTCTGGATGAAGACGGGCTAAATCTGTTATCAGTGAGTATTGCATACAACCTTGCGGCTTGCATAACTGACATTCACTAATTATCCCCTCGAAAAATTTCAATATTACAGGAAATGTTGCATTATGAACCATCAAAACGGATTTCAGCAAAGAAAGCTATGGAACATTCCTACTTCGACGATCTTGACACGTCCAATCTCTAAAGAAATGATCCAGAAGCATAATCACCTGCCGGTCTGTTAGGAATTTGCTTAACATCTTTTATCATTGTTTAATTGCTTCCCTCAAGCATCTTTTATCGTTGTTTTTAGAAATATGTGATTTTAATGCAGTCTGTGGAGGAAGTTGACAGCCCTTAATGACTTGTTTTAGGCATATTTCTTCTCGAATTTCTAGCTCCATTGTCATCTCACCCGCCCCTCGAGCTTATAAACCCACTGAGATGCAACAATCAATGATGAGATGCAAAAATCAACAAAATTTAAGATGATAAAATTACTACTGACACAAAATTACATTAAGATACAATGGCGGCAAGCCTGGCTAATCAGAATGGCAAGCCCTACAGCAATGGCTATAAGAGAAGATGCCCAAGTGAGCTTCTCAGTTATTCTTGGAACCCTATCCTTGAGTGCCTGACTACACGAGATGTAAAAATCACCAAATTTAAGATGATAAAATTACTACTGATACAAAATTACATTAAGATACAATGGCAAGCCTGGCTAATCAGAATGGCAAGCCCTACAGCAATGGCTATAAGAGAAGATGCCCAAGTGAGCTTCTCAGTTATTCTTGGAACCCTATCCTTGAGTGCCTGACTACACGAGCATAGAAAGACAGTATAGCTTCCCATAGCAATAACTGTCCCAACTAAGAACATACTAAAAAATGCAGCACCAGCCAAGCGAGAAGGCAATGCAAGTGCAGGTAAGATCATCACCAGAGCATCGGGTTGTAATCCATGGACAATCCCTGTGGCAAAAGTTGCAAACCCAATCTTCTTTTTTCCGATTGACGGATTCTCAAGGGCATCTTCATGCACTCTAACATCACCTTCTCCATTTTCTAGGGCAACACACGGGGCAGGGACTTCTGAAGCTTCCTTGATTCCCATGGCACCAATTACAAGCAGAGTAAAACCGACAACTCTTGTTCCCCATGTTGTAATAACTTCAATGTGAAGTCGATCCTTCAAAAGTAAAAATAGTAAGCCAAATATCACCTGTCCAGCATCATGGCCGCATCCCCAGAGGGCTCCAACTGCAGCACTTTCCATCTTTGTTCGGCCTGTTGAGAGTGGAGCTAATGCAGCAAGGTGATCGGGGCCAGATAACGTGTGTAAGCAACCTGCCAAGAAGCCAGTCCATGCACTGCTAATTATTTCAGTACGAAAGAGTCGAGTTCCTGCAGCTGCTGCAGCTGGACCCCCACTGCTGGCTGCACTTCGGAAGCTAGCAAAAGCTGGTGCCACCACAACTGGGTGGACTAACATAAGAAAGATTGCCGACAGTAATATTACTGTCCCCAGAAGCAAGTACCTGATATTCATTAGGAAAACGGTAAAAAAAATGTGTAGGCTAAAAAATAAGCATGCCTGTTTATATTCATTATCTTCAGATGTTCAACAATAGGAAGTAATTGTTGTCTACCATTTTTTATTCACGACAAAAAAAAAAAAAAATTATTAATAGCCAAAAAACCAAGCTAAGGATCAACTAACAGACTGAGTAACCCATGTGGCAAATGCAAATGCATATATGAGTAACTTAATACAAGGTTCTGTGTTTCTTAATCTAATAACTGTCTCTTCCTGATTTTCCACAGGACGTTCTCTCTTTTTGTAAGCTCATTCAGTATTCTATGTTCAGTTGTTGCAACCAACCCCCAAATCAATAAAACATCAAGGTACGACTAATAACATTAATACCTCTACGAAAGTATATCCTGTTTCACCAGAACTCATGGACAAAGTATTCATGCTGTCATTATAATGGAGAGAAGCAAAAAAATTTAAATTCTATCAGCAGCTTTCTACATTTGGAAAACATCTAGTTTATACACAATTCACCATATGAAATCATGAAATGACAAAATGAAAAAGACAATTACAAAAGGTTAAAAGCTTATTCCCGTGAACTTGTGCTCAACTTAAATAATATTTTTGGTGTTCTATTAAATCCAACATTATATCACACATTCCAAAAATGTCAAATCTTGTGCAACTACATCAGCCTATGTCAATTCTGGTCAATCTACGCAGAACCCCAACCTATTTCACACGGTTCATATAAATATTGTGAAATGCGAGTTTCTCTAGATCTACACTAGTCGCTAGACATATCCCAAGACTCCCAATTGCCAATCCCTTAATTTGTCCTAACATCCTCATTTCTTCCCATTCATCAAATGGACATTTTTGACCTTGAGAAACCCTTCACGAACTCTATAAAGCATAGCTTGTCTCATAATCCATTCTTTAGAACTAGTCTTTTAACTTGGTAAATATGTATACCTCCTCCTAGCATTTCTCCATTTCGTTTAACATGTTCTATTATATGTATTGCTCCGACTTTGAGTCAACCTTCCTCAATCTTAATTATTAAATCCGGATAAATAAAGCAATCAGTGTCTGGGACAATTCAAATCTCTTTTGTAACTCCAACATCAAATCCTTATTTCTAGGAAAAATTAGTAAGAAGCCAAAATTATGAAGACACTACTGATTTTCGCTTGGGCGAAAAATTCCTCTTTCCAGGTTTTAAATCTTTTTTCCAGAACAAAATCCAATAGAAACTTAAACTACCCAAACTAAAAATAGTTAAATTCCCTTGAGCAATCAGTCAAATAGGAGCATAACACGCGCGCGCGCGCGCACACAAA